CTCCTGTAGCACTTTTTACATTGTCCTCTTATCCCTACTTTTATCTGAAATATGTTTCAATTTAGAATTGCAAGTTGTATTTTAGGGATTATTATCCTGGGTAATACTTTTCATGTAGAGCAATTATGATCTCCAATATAAATAAAACTCACTGAACCCCAAGAACAGCTAATAATATTGTTAGCTGAACTCCTTGCTTTTTTGTTTGTTTTTACAGGAAGAAAGTAAGTGAACAACAAATTGTTTCAGTAGCGATTTGACCACCTGCATAAGCATTTGGTTGACAGTTAAGTGATACCGTGTGAAAGTCTCTGGTATTTCATTTATTCCTTCAGGAGAGAAAAACTGAGCCTCTGGGTTAGGAAGGAGTTTTCTTTTTTACCACTTAGATGCATATTTTTTTTAATTATAAAAAGAAAAATCCGCCTAACCACTGTTCACCTAACATTTATGCCCACCTTAAATATCTCGGGAATAATAATTGTTTCCATTTGCAGTACTTACAGGGCTGTTACGTTGTTTTCAGTCGTGTTAGGTCTGTCATGAACCTCTAAGAATTCAAAATATTTTCTGAGGCTTAATATAGAAAATAGACACCATTTGCGTTTTTATTTCTCACGTTTCATAACTAGTAGACCTTCATAGAAATATGAAATGTAACAGTCAATTTCAGCCAAAAAGTTTTCCTTACTTCTCTAAACAATTTTAAGATATCTTGAGAAAGGGCAGCCTTTCTGTAGGATTTGTCACACCCTCAGTTCAAATCTGATATAGAAAATTTGCAACATGTAATTTTTTAAGCTGGTCCCAAAATGAGCTGTGGCCTTCTCAAGTATTTTTTTTTTAATAGAACACTTGAAAACTTTCCTGTGTGTTGTCAGATCTCCTTCCGTCGCAGACTGTATCAAAGTGCTTTTTCTACTTTAAAGTGGAAACTAAGCTATCAGAAACCCAGTGTGTTGCTGATGTTATTGGCTGTCACTGATAACAGGAAGAAAAGTTCCAAATTTGTATGTTCTTATGAATGGCTTTAGAAAAAACTTAATGAGCAGTCACTGAATACCTGCATGTCGTTATATCCTTAGCCTTGCCATGGGATGTTCTAGTGTCGTGGAATTTGGATGGCGTGCAGAAGTAGGACTTCATCAGTGAACCAGGAGCTGGATTCACTTCTCTCATACTTCCTTTCAGTTCAGTCCTCTTGTAGAGGAATGCTGTCTGCTAGTGGGGTCTACAGAGCGGATTTTTCTTGGTATTGTTTTATTTCCAGTAGCTCACTAGTACTAGCCAGAGAGGCTACTGGAATTTCTATGGACTTTTCACCACATCTGTTACCTTATTGCTTATCCTACTTTATTTAAATGTGGAATCTGCTATTTCTTGCATATCGTCTGTGTGAGTGTGAAAACATATTTACTGTCTTTCTTCCAAGTAGTATGTAGGGGAGTTTTGTGGGCTTAAAAGTAGTGGCTGTGAATGTCCCTTTCTTCCTTACCTGTCTAGGATACAATGAAGAGCTGTTCACCTTCACAAACAGGATTTTTCTCTTCAAGCCACCGAGTTTAATTGTAAAACTCATTACTTGCCGATATATGCTTCTTTTATTCTTTAGATAATTTTACAGGATCTCTGAATTTCAAATACAGTTTCCTATTCATTGTGTTAGCAGCAGCATTCAAAAGTGTAACACATTTAAGTTTATATCAGGAGATACATAGATATACAGTTTGGGCTTTTTTTTTCTGTATGTGCTTATTAATTGGTATTTAAGTGCTCCAAACTTGCAGATGGGAACAAACAGTATTGCCTGTATGCAGAAAGCCACAACTTTTGCTGCCCTGTCACATTAACCAAGACAACAGCCTATAAAAGTATAGTAAGTGCTTCTTCTCTGTTGGGTTTTATTATTTTTAAAGAGTTTGAATAAATATGTCCTCTAGAATGTAACAAAACAAAAAGATTGAAGTACCATGCAATGGCATGTTAAAGGCTGTATGTTTTCTTTAGGTGTTTTTGCTTATTTTGATTTCATAAAGTAGAATAGAATATTCTATGTTATGTTACTTTGTGTATAAATTGAGCTAGAAAGAGGAGAACTGGGTGCACCAGTAGGCTAGTAATGTGTGGCAGGTGATTAACATCTGCTGAGGAAAGTTTTGTGTTTCCAGAAGGGTAAGGTTTCTTTTCCTAATGTATATTCAGTACATTTCTTTCCTTAGTTATACAGTATTCAAACGTTGTATACTCAAGATGTTTGCTGGTATGTTTTTTTTAAGTCGTCTTTACCTGTACTGAAGGAGGTAATGTTACTGCAACCTACCTAAAAGACATGAAAGTAACTATCGAGTCTTATTTTTTAGTGTGTTGTTTCGGATTTGTAGAGGTTTGTATTCCCATGTTTTACGTGCAGTTCAAGAGATTTGGGTCTCTGGATGTTGTCTTTGTCACATGGACCTTTTATTGTGAAGTATTCTCAGCGTGTGTATTGTTCAGCTTTCGGAGCGTTAGCAGCTTGTGAAAGGTATTAATGCCTTCTGCCTAGGGTAGCATTAAACACCCGGGCAGTATTTATCGTACACATTTAGGGAATTAATGGGCCATTAGGACTTGACATCCATTGGAATCTGGCAATCAGGTGGTCCAGGATTACACTGTTGATTTTTATGAAGAGGCATCCTGTTTCATAGCTACAGTTGATGATGCAACATTCTCACTCACAGCTATCTTGATAAAGACAGTGGTGGTATTGGCAAACCACCTCGTATCTCTTCTAGCAGTCAGGGTAATTCATCTTACCTTAATTGAATAGATTTCGAAGGAATGACTTTTCCTGGCTTTTTTGTCAGACCAAGAGGAATTCTTCAGATTGCTTTTCAGAGTTCTTGCATTTCCAAAATCCGTATTAATATTATGCAGAAGAGGCTGAGATTTTGGTTTCCTGTAGCATTAATTGTGTTCCTTACTGTATTTGATTTTGCAGTAGAAATAATGTTAGTAGGACTTCACTGTATTTAATTTCGTGTCGGTGGTACCGTGCAGGTGCTTATGTCAGTATGCTGTTAAGTCATGGTGTTAGCTAATACTGTTGTACAGCATACAAAGGAAACAAGTACTAGTATTCAGTTCACAGCAGTACTGACACTTTGTGGGAATTCCTGCCTGTAATTCCATTTTCCATCTGATTTTAGTAGTATCTGCAGAGGTTAATATTTCCATTTAAAACTATTAGTGATCTACAATTTAATCTTGGTGAATGATTAACAAAAATTTAGTTAAGGTTTCAGAAAGAAGATATGGATAAATGTTTAACTGCTGAGTTTTCAGAATAGAGAATTAAAAAGTCGGTGAGATGGACAGTTTGTCCTGTAACGGGTCTTACAGGATGTTGCAGTTTTTAACTTCTTTACAGAAATGCTTCGTAACAATACAAGCTGTAAACGTAGCTTCTATTAACAACTTCTGTAAATTCGCACATATTTGGTGAGAAAGTAATGACTACATGAAAGCTTTTAGTGGGTGTTTCTATATTCAGGTGATGTGATAAATAAAAAACTCACTCTGGATCTTGTGTAGCATTTTAAGTCCTGACTGAGAAAGTGCAGAACTGTCATATGTTGAAAGAATAACAACATAAAATTCTGTTCATATGATTGTGATTTTCAAGTGAAAACTAATAATATTGCATTTTAATTTTTACTGAAGCTAGATGAAAGTCTAGTTCTCAAGCAGAGAAATTGCTTTTCAAAATTTTGGAAGGGGTGCCTGTTAAGCAAAAGCGTGCACTTAAATTGCTGTACTAAAAAGAATTTGGCTTGTGCATAGACTAAGAAATGGAGGGTCACATTTATGTTCTCTGCAGTGTATTAACAGCTCAGACTGATTTTAGTTTACTCTGTTATGACGTTCTATAATAGATCAATCTGAGTAAAATGAATAAGATGTGTATTGTTTCAACAGCTAAATCACAAAAGTTCTGCTCATGTTGGTTCATTTGAATACTTTGTCTTGACAGGCTTCCTTGTAAAGATGATGAATGTCCCTTCGCTGATGACTTCTGAGTTGTGTTGCTGTGACAAGCCTTTCTCTTAACTGATCACTTTGTTTACAATTTGATTACAAAGTAGACACTTTTTTCTTTTTAAGAGTTCAATTTTGCATGCATGACTCTTTCTCAGCTATCTCTACGACCTAGTTTTACTTTTTTTGTCACTGTAAAATGTAGCAGAGTATCTAGAAGTAATTCTAAAACTCTGCTATTGGGTTTCCAGCTATCTGAGTAAATCTAGGACTCTAAACTTCATAGGTATTTTGGAACTTGGAATTATTTCTAAGGTTTTACAACTAAAAACATCAGGAAGTGTGGATGATGTTAAAATAGCACTGCCAAAATTTTGGGGAGTTTTTGCACGTGGTAGCTGTTGAGATAGGTGCTGTGTGGAGCATTCCTGTGGCATAATGCTACATCGATTGCCTATTGGTGAGTTGGCTGGGTTTCCAAATGTTCAGGAAAACTGAAGAATTTGAGTTGGTTGCTTGCAAGGCGACACAATTTATGAGTGATAGCTGCTGAACTAACAGGAGTTAGGTGTGGATTTGTACTCAGACTCAGAAGTAGTCTTGATCAGTGGAAAGTGAAGCTTCGAACATCTTTGCCCAGTTGATCGCTTGTTCTACCCAACATTATTGAGCAGTGTTCTTCCTGCTTTTCACATTTCTCTGCCAAAGAAATGATTGACACTAGATACCGGTGTCTGGTATTATGTCTGTATCAAGCTTCATGTTCTCAGTTGTGTGGCAAAGTTCATAATTTAGAAGTGACACGAATGTTGTGTTAAAACTATGTAAGGAAAGAAATTGTAAATACTGTCTTAAAAATACCTGGGATATTTAAAGGGAGACTTTTCATAGTCATTTAATATTTAAAAATCATAATTACATTTGAGCAGGTGAAAATTTCTAGTTTAAAATGTTGTTTTTTTTATTTCCTTGTGTAGCTATGTAGGAAACCTCTCCAGAGATGTGACTGAAGTTCTTATACTTCAGTTATTCAGCCAGATTGGACCATGCAAAAGCTGTAAAATGATAACAGAGGTAAGGCCTTCCATATCCAGGGGGGTAGCAAATATCATGTAACTTAGGATAAAATTGTGCAAAATAAATAGCGTTGGGGGCTACTTTTGACATTACTAGTAGTGGTTTTTTAGCTCGATTATGTTTGGCTTTTGTGGTAACTTTTTGCGGGAGAGACCTGTTGTTGTGTACAGACCTGTACTTTTGCCTGTAGCCCTGACATACCTTTACCAGCTGATGATGAGATCTTACTTTATTTGAAGGTTTGTTACCCCTTCTTTTCAGAACCATGTTGTTCTGATGATCAGAAATCTTACTGTTTCAAGTGTTATTCATGGCTATTTTGTACGTTTTTCACTTTATTTGAGCATGAGCCTCAGTAACTCTTTTCCCTGTGTCTCCACTATGGATGAAAAGTAAAAATTCCTTCAAAATAAGTTTTGTTCTTCCTGAGCCTCTTCTGTGCTAGTGCAAATAGCTCTTGTCTGCACCTATCTGAATTTTTTCTTGAAACAAAGTGACTGAATTTCCCTAGTATTCCAGATAAGGTCTTTTGTGTAAACTGTTGGTAAGTATTAATATTTTCTTCTCTCCATTGTAAATACTCTGGTACGTTTAGGGTTGGCACATCCTAGGCAGCTTCTCACTCCCTAATATTTTTCCTTCCTGCTGCATTTATAACTGATGAATTTCTGGCTGGCAAGGACTAATCAGAATTTTTGCTTGATTTAATCTTTGATTCTTCAACTCTGTTGTTCTGTGTGCTCTTTCTCCTTTTTACTACTACCTGTGGTTCATACTAACTTGTAATTACAGGTTTCCTGAGTACAGTCACATTATTTTTTTGTCAAGATCGTTAATGAAAGTATTAAAAGGCAAGTCTTGTGACCAGACTTCTTTAGGATCAATACTAGTACCTCTGTGGTCTCCTTTTCCTTTCCGCGTGGCACACTGCTTTTTTTTGCTTTTTAGCTGGATATTATCTACCTGACGCTTGTTTGATCACTCGCATCTGTGTCTTAACTAATAATTTCCCAGTGGCACTTTATTAAAACTCTTCAGTGATGATAAGAGCTCTGCCATGTTTTCTGTAAGTCTATTGAAGAAAGATAACTAAACAGAAGGATAACAGAGCACAGTTGTTAACTTTTCTCAGAAGAAACAGTTTTAATTGTTGTACGCTCTTTGGAAATAAGGCACTGCTGCTCCAGCCTTCAGCTGGTCAAGAGAGGTTAGCATCAGTTTGATTTCTTGAGAACCAGATGAGAAATTCCAACGCTTACTTTACCTTTAGGCTTTGTGGTTGTAAGATTTTGCGCAACCCTAGAAATAACGAGGGAGACATCTTTATGAACTAAGTAGATAAACAAAAAGCTACTTGCAGCTATATTCAGTCGTAGGGAGGTGAACGCACTCGGCTGACCTTAGCACCTGTCACCGAGCAGTCAGCAAGTGCAGGTTGGATTCTAGACTGGAACTGGCCTGCAGCTGCAGTGCTTTTAACTGTCCAAGTACCTGTCCATCCTTCTGATCAACGTGTTGTGAACTTCACAGGCACCGAGTTACATTTGAGTGGTTCTTACCATTGTTACTACCACCACCAGTCAAGTTTACACCCAGATGTTTTCCTTTTGTGATTCCCCTCACCTGTCTTCAGTCAGTTGTATCAACTGTTTGTTCACTTTTTCATTTGTAGAATATGTGAAATGAACATGTCAAGTGTTCAGAGGTTTCAGGTGTTTATTTTGGGGATATATGACCCAAAGGGATGGTGTGACTAGCGTTTACAGGTATCTTGAACACCTAAAGATCTGGGCATCTGCAGAAGAGGCTCTTCACATGTTCAGACAAGTTCTTAGTGCAAGAGATGACCTTCCCACAATCTAGAAGTAAAATTGCACTTCAACTGAAGCACGAAGTGCGATAAATCTGTTAAGGCCTTAAATGGGTTTCCCAAATCTTGTTTTCATTGCAGCAGGAAAGTAGTATGGGAAGAGGGGTGAATTGTGGCTCGTCATTTTGGGGCATCTGAGGTGAACATGCTTTTGCAGCACTTCGTGGCTGTTGAGACTTAAGCTTTTTTTTATAATATCAGGTATATTTTTCTGTTGTCTGTTCATTTTACATCAGTTACGAGACACCTAATGCTGACAGTGTTTTAGAGGGTTCTGACTTCAGACTACTTGATCATTTTGGGTATATAAAGGCCTTGTAGTCAGTTCAGCTGTTAGATCTTAATAGCTTCTCTTGTTCATGTGTAGACAGAACTATGAAGATGTACAGTCCAGTTTTATGGGACAGAATTAGAATTTCTTTGTCACATAAGCCTGTATGAATTTTCAGAAGTTAAATAGTAAACTGGTAAAGACCCAGTTTTAACTTGTTTTAGTTATGCTCTGTCTGACACTGGGGGACGTTGATAAGCAAGAACACTGATGCCAAAGCAGGTTCTTTACGTGTTAGATCCTTCCCTGGCCATACAAAAAATAATTTTAGTTTAGTATTAGTGTTTATCATCTTTTGATCCACATACATGCAGAATAGTCAATGCAGATAATTTGGTGTAGGGCTCTAGTTTTTGTACTCATTACGTCTTTTAAGATTAAATCCAATGTTAACTTGAACATTCTAATCATCAGATCTACTTGATCAACTTTTGTGGAAACTTTTAGGTTCTTTGCAAATAATACTCTGGTACATTCAATACTTCTGTGAGCTTTGTGTGTTAGCATTTTTAAAGGTGATTCGATAGGCCATCCTATAAAAACCAGTTATACCCAAGATTTAACAATCAATTGATTAGTATCTTTTTCCCTGAAACTATTTTGTGTCCTTGTAAATCGATATTTCCCAGTTACTGGAAATAACGTTTTTCACTTGAGACTGAGAATACGCAACTTCTGTGTTGCTGTCTGCTAGTGACTTTTGAGCAATTAAAAGGAAAGCTGCTTAAGTAGAAGGAGGGAGAAAATAGGTGAAAATGTATCCGGGAAACAAACCTTTCAAACTTTGAGTGTGTGTGTGTATATATATATATATATGAGGCAGAAGACCATTTTCATTCTTCTTTCCATTTTTCCCCTTTTTTCACCCCTTCCATCCAGTCTGCAGATCACTTCTGGTAGTTGAATTATTTTTGGTTTAGTAAACTTGAAGTACTGAGCCCTCATACAATGTAAACTGTACTTCAGAATTGCTAGACCTTTTATAAAAAGTCCATCTGAATAATTCTTGCATTTAAGTGTAATGTCAAAGGCTATTTCATAAATCTAATGCAAATCATTCTTAAAGTTTCTAGCTATAAGTAATATATTTTCCTGGATTTTCTTCTCAGCAACCCGATAGCAGAAGGGTCAACTCTTCTGTTGGATTTTCTGTTTTGCAGCATACAAGCAATGACCCTTATTGCTTTGTGGAATTTTATGAACACAGAGATGCAGCTGCTGCATTAGCTGCTATGAATGGGAGAAAAATTTTGGGAAAGGTAAGTTGCTTACATCGTAATTGTAGATGTAAAGAATATAGGTTTGTGTAAAAAGTATTGATAACACTGTGGGGCATCCGTTTTGTTGGAGATGTTTACCGAGGTTAAATATTGTTAGTATTTTAAAAATACTGGTTTAAAAAAGTAAGTCTTGTTTAGGAAGCATATAATTTGTGATGTTCTAAGTGCTACTGTTTTATATTGAGTGATGGTTTGTAAACATTGACAGTTGTAACCCACCCTTGAATGAACTTAAAAAACGTAAGAATTTTGTGAATTTATTCTAAATCTTATACTTATTTTCAGGAGGTCAAAGTAAACTGGGCCACAACACCAAGTAGCCAGAAAAAAGATACATCCAGTAAGTAAAGTAATGCCACAGTATCACTTCTACACACAAATACTTCACAACGTGGTAATAATTTGTCATAAATGCATTTAAACATAACTTTTCTCCTTCTCGTCTTGTGTTTAATAGAATTTTGCAAACTAATTCTTCTGTTTCTGCTTTACAACTGGGGAAACTGGAGTGGACAGATTAAATTGCTGCTGCTCGTCAAATGGAGTCCTGGGCGTTCCTGGTTCCCAGTGCTGTATGCAGAGCATCACTTTCTCAGGAGCTGAAATTTTAGATAGCAGTTAAATATTTGATTAGTAAATTATTTATTTTCAGATCACTTCCATGTGTTCGTTGGGGATTTAAGTCCAGAAATAACAACAGAAGACATCAAGTCAGCATTTGCTCCTTTTGGTAAAATATCGTAAGTATCATAATAAACATTTCCAGTATTGGTTAGAAAATATGACAGTGAAAACTTGTTTGAGTTGAAATGTTGTTTCTTGTCTTTTTGGATAATGTTTCTGATATTGATTTCCTTATGTTGGGTGGGCAGTAAGGAGGGGTTATTGTTTTGTCTCAGTAACTATCTTGATTGTAAATATAATAATGTAATCGTGCTCAGGTTTTGCTGAAAGCAGTGTGCTTTTAACCTAATTTATATGCTAATGTCCTTCAACTTTTTATTAAATTTTAATTTCTGTTTCTAAGTGTGACTTTCTGTTGTTCAGAATGTGTACAGAATAGTGACTTGACAAGCGCTATATGCTGCATCATCAGTGTATTTTGTGTGCATCCATGCTGCGTTTATATTATAGGCAGTACAGAAAACTGGGCAATTGGAATATCGTTTTATAAAACAACTAGTTGAATAACTTGTGAACGTTTTGAGCAAAACTAATGTTTGTGAGAATGAAATCTGCTTTTTTAGATGATAACAGGGGATGAATTAAGATTCTAATATTTAAATGAAAGAACGGTGGATTTGCAATATGTGCACATCTGCCAGTTAAGAGAATGCTTCTTTCAACTTCTCATGATTCAGGTGATACCAAGTCACCTGGTGTTTTTATTGAACTTATTTAACATTACAAGAATCCTTGTGAGTGCTAAAGTATGTATGTTCTTAAGAGTACTGCTACAAAAAAGCCTGTTAATCATCTATCGGTTTATCTTTATAAAAATCTTTTAAATTTGCACGTGAATGTTTTTGTGCTACTTCACAGGAATATATTTCTAAGAAAAAAATTCTAATTTTTCTCTTGTTCTGTACGCATATTTTGAAATGAATCATAAATCTTATTTCTTACCTCTGCTATTTTGTTTACTTTGCTTTTTTGTCTCTTAATGTGGTAAGTAGTACTGTTTAAAAATCGATTTAAAAAGAATGATTCAGGTTTCTGTTTCTCAATCTATATTTATACCTGAGACCTGCAGTTTTTCTAAAGTCCAAGTCACAATTAAAAGTAATAGCATTCTGGTTATTTTGCAGAATTGCTCATAAGAATGGACAGGATCTTGAAGGCTAACTGCAAGGAACTGTGCACACTGGAACTCAGTTGTAGATTTTTTCTCATTTCTATTTATTCTTATTATACATTATTTATATATACATATTTTAGTATTTACATTTTAACATTCTATATTCAGTGCAGTTCTATATTTCCAATCATTTTAACTTACTCACTAAAATTTCTGTGTAAATTTGTTGTTTTCGTACTGGTGTGCTTAGCATTGTTGTTAGTTTTATTCTCCTTTCTTAAATTTCTGAAAATGTCAATTTTTCAAAATTTACAGCTGCCCAAACTCCAAAATGATGGTAGAGAATTGACCAAGAAAAATAAAGAAATCTGTTAACAGGCCATGTATGCCTTTTAATTCCTATTTTTTCCTCTTTTTCGATTTTTTAATATTTCATATATTTTGTATCACTAGGCAGAAGACATTTAACTATTTAGAAAATGCATGGTAAATTAGATAGAATTGTTACAGTAATTTATAGAACAGTAAACCTTAGAGGACCCTAGCCAATAGAATATTAGAAAAGGAAACTTTGTTTCTCTTATACTTCAAATTTGAACATTCTAGTTTTAGCCAGTATAGGTTATGTGGATAGGTTGCATGTTTATTACATGTTATTTTTTTTTGTCCTACTGCTTTTTTCTAACAGGTAAAGAAGCAATAGGGAGAGTTCAGGAATGACTGTAGTTTTAGGGCTAACTGAATTTATAAGAAAAAATTATGCTCACAATACAGTGTGTGTGGTTCCTTTTAGTTTTTATTTTGCAGGTTATTAATATTACCCTCATATAGCTGTGCTTCTTTTCACAGGGATGCACGGGTAGTTAAAGATATGGCAACTGGAAAGTCAAAAGGCTATGGTTTTGTATCTTTTTATAACAAACTGGTGAGTAATTACAATGTAGGTTTAAAGTAATTGCTCATTTTCCACTTCTAGTTTTACCTCTTTGTTTATATATTCGCTGCGCATCAGACTTTCCCAAGTGAAATAAACTTGACAAATTTACTTCAACCAAAACTTTTGTTATTTGTGATTAAGGGTTGAAAAAACTCAGATGACAGTGATTCTACGAGAACATTGTGAAAAAAGATTCGAGAATGTTATGGAAGAGGATTCTTGAACACAGAGAAGGCTTCTTTGGGAGTGTTAGGGTAGTTGAGCATGGTTTGTGGAACCATCTCTCCTACAGTGAGCTGGGTGCCTGCTCTGATCAGTAGCTCTTTGGGCCTCTTGGCTGCGGCACGCCAGGTCCAGGGTGGTCCTGTGTGGTGGTAGGAGCCCCTGCAAAACCACGTCCTGAGGCCCTCGGCCTTGAGGAGTGTGGTGCCACGCTACGCAGCAGGGTTCAGCCTTTGCCAGGTTTAGGTTCATGCCAAAGCTCAGTTTTTCTGGGGACCTCATGCAACCAAGCGTGTCATACACTGAAGCGTGGCTGGACTGGTTTGCTAGCTCTGCATCTCAGGCAAGTTCTTGGTTGGTCCTTTGCGTGAGTTGTGACAACATTTTTGAAATCTAAGGTGATTCTTTGTGTTGAGGAATTAATTTGCAGCGAAGAGTTGATTCTGTCCTTGTAAAGCATTTTGCTTATGCATATTGTAAAACTGAAGGTTTTTCTTGGTTCCTGTTGGGTGGTGTTGCTATGGACGTAATGGACGATGCTATGTATGCTTAGGAAAAATTGCTTCTGACAAGCGACTAGTATCCCTTTCTGATACAGGTGTTATTTGTAGAATTTAATCAGTGTGATACTGATAAAAACAGGGCACTGCCCTACCATTTATAGCAGTACAGTTGACTCAGCAAATAATTCGTGGTAATTTGGAAGCTAAATGTTTGACACTGTAAGAAACTTTTGAAAATTTTTGGAGAATTGAGTGAGTGTTTAGAGGCGTGTTTAGGACAACATGGGGAAACTGTGTAAACCCTTTTCCTTAAATGTTTTGCATAGGAAAAAACACAGTTAAGGATTTTAGGCATGTTAAGACTACATGTTAAGACTCTGTACGTCTGTAGCAGTTATCTGAAGCGGAATCTTAATCGGAAAAAAAATTGGAATTTATTTTCTTCAGATTTGCAGATGCCATAAGATATTACAGTTGAATGCCTTGACTGAGTGCATTTTTCCACTTACACTTCCTTTATTTTGTGTTGCAGCTGAAATAGACAAGAGGAGTAGATGTCTTATTTCCTTGTACCCCTCTTCCCTTACCCTATGGTTATGGTTGGTTTCTGTGACAGTAGGGGAAATGTAACAGTCACATGGAATGCAAACTACTGGATTCTTTTAAGACTGAGCCATAAAATCTCCCAATTTAAAATCTGTATTCATTCTGCAAAATCAATAGATGAATTCTGAATGTAATACTAAAAAGTACTTCTCAAATCTATGTCTGATTGATGTTCATTCAAACAGCAGCAGCAGCTGTAGGGTTATGGCGTGACCATCGTGAGCTGGTTTTAAGTTTAAGGCCTGTTTTATGGAATTTATTGTAATTCTGCTAGGTTCAGGGAAGCGGGATATAGAATCATAGACTGGTTTGGGATGGAAGGTACCTTAAAGATCATCTAGTTCCAACCCACCTGCCATGGGCAGGGACACCTTCCACTACACCAGGTTACTCAAAGCCTTATCCAGCCTGGCCTTGAGGACTTCCAGGGATGGGGCATCCACAACTTCTATGGGCAACCCTGTTCCACTGCCTCACCACCCTCAGAGTGAAGAATTTCTTCCTTATATCTGATCTAAATCTTCTCTCTTTCAGTTTAAAGCCATTGCCCCTTGTCCTGTCACTACATGGCCTTGCAAAAAGTTCCTCTCCAGCTTTCTTGTAGGTCCCCTTTAGGCACTGGAAGGCTGCTCAAAGGTCTTCCTGGAGCCTTCTCTTCTCCAGACTGAACAACCCCAACTCTCTCAGCCTGTCTTCATAGCAGAGGTGTTCCAGCCCTCTGGTCATCTTCATGACCCTCCTCTGGACTCCCCACAGCAGGGCCATGTCCTTCTTACATTGGGTCCTCAGAGCTGAACGCAGTATTCCAGGTGGGGTCTCGAAAGAGCAGAGCAGACAGGGAGAATTGTGTCCCTTGATGTGCTGGCCACACTTTGGATGCAGCCGGGATACGGTTGGCTTTCTGGGCTACTAGCATGTGTTGCTGGGTCATGTTGAGCTTCTGTTGAGGTTCGAAGTGATTTGAGTTCGAGACAAGCCTGTTAGAGCTGGAAGCTTGCAGTGAGGCAGGACAATGCTAGTTGCTCACCATTAGCTTGTCCGTATGTTCTCTCTGTCCCTTGTGCTTGGTGTTTTCTTTCGTAAGCTCTGTGCCCTTGGAAAAGTGTTTCAAACATACGTACTATTTGCTGTGCGTCCCTTCTTTCAAAGAAGTTAGGGGAAAAATTGCTTCTTGCCAGTGTTAGCAAACGTACTCCTTGCTTACTAGATGTTTCTGCTTCCAGTGTGAACTTAAATATTGTCTGTGAATTCATGCTCCAGATAAGTTAAGCCACGTGGGCCATGGTCTCTGTGTGTGTGTTCATACAATGATTTTAATAATTAGAAAACTTAGGAAGCAGTCTTTGCTCAGATATGAATTGGATGCCACCAGAGGGCAGAAGGGAGTTTGGGACAGGAGAGCGTGGGAATAATAAATAAAAGCGAATTTATGTACTCAGTCTACTTGTATCTCAGCATTACAGTTTCTTGGTAACTACCGTTCAGCCTTCCCAGAACTTAATGATTTTTCTACCTAAACTCGACCTGTTATGTTGAGTGTGTATTAAGATTATGGAAAGCTACATTCACAATGTCTTGTGCAAACACATACTGCACGGTATAAACGTTACTTGGGTGACATCTGAGAAATTTTTCGATGAGGGATATCGATGATTAAAAAGTGTTTCCTGACTTTGCATCTGTTACAATTCATGAAAGTATATTTAATAGTGCTTCTAATAGTCAATTGGCAAAATAATTTTATTTTTTTACACATATAGAATGAAAAATTTAGATGTTTTATTTCAGTCATTGCTTCTGGCATCTGTATGACCTTTGTACTTTTTTGGGCAGCCTTTAAATATTCTAACACAGATGCATGTTGTGTGTAAGTAGTGTATGTATGATTGTAGTTGCCTTCTAACCTGGGTGTAGAAAATGGAGGTGGGATGAAGATTTTATCACATCACTTCAGGGCCTTCTCTGTAGCCGATTGGCTTCATGTTACCTCATTTTTTGCTGTTTGCTGTGGTCATTAAGAATTTCTTATACTTTTTAGTACCGTTACTGGTTTTGTCAACAGAATTAACTGACAACCAAGTCTTAGAAGTAGACTTGTACATGCATCTTTTTTGGATGCGTTATAATCTTTATTTTAATCCCTTCAGGATGCAGAAAATGCTATTGTGCACATGGGAGGTCAGTGGTTGGGAGGCCGTCAGATCAGAACTAACTGGGCAACACGGAAACCACCAGCACCCAAAAGTACACAAGAAAGTAAGACCTTCATGTGATGCTATGTTGTGTTTGCCCTCTTGCATGTCACTGTTCAGTGGAGGAATGAAACGTAATGTTGCCGAAATCATGTCACTTAATTACATGTCTAGCTTGACTTCCAGATCTTAAAGTGTGTGTGTATATATATATTTTTATTATTTTTTTAATATTATATAAACATAGTGGTCTGTCATAAAATATTTCATGTGTTTGTTAAATGTATAACTCATGCTTGCATAGGAGGTAAGTATCTGGGACTCTGTGGTTCCTGTTAGCCTGCTGCTCAAAACCAGCCTTCTCTCTTTGTAGATAATACAAAACAATTGAGATTTGAAGATGTAGTAAATCAGTCAAGTCCAAAAAATTGTACTGTGTACTGTGGAGGAATTGCCTCTGGGCTAACAGGTATGATGTGTTTTAGTGTTTTTTTTTTTTATTTGTTGTTGAAGCTTTTTGGACACAAAGATGGTTACTAATTCAAAAACGTTATATGTCGTAGATCAACTTATGAGACAGACTTTTTCACCATTTGGACAGATTATGGAAATAAGGGTATTTCCAGAAAAAGGTTACTCATTTGTCAGGTATGGACAGAGGAAAAAGTAAAATCTGTGATTTTGTTAATGTAGTAATGTTTCATCTTTCTGTAATTTCACTTGATTGAACTTCTGCTGATACATTGAAAGCTGTCACCATATGTTCATAGAAAAATGTGGGACTTTTAAAAGTGGCCATCAATCTTTTTACCTGAGAAGATGAGTGTCTGTGAAAGCAGGTCTTTTTCTCTGGATTTCCTGTATGTATGGAGTCACTGTTTTTTAACAATCAGGTGAAAGTACTATAAAGCATTAACACTAGTTTGTTTTTACATTCTTTAGATTTTCAACCCATGAAAGTGCAGCACATGCTATTGTTTCAGTTAATGGAACCACAATTGAAGGACACGTTGTTAAATGTTACTGGGGTAAAGAATCCCCTGATATGACTAAAAACTTCCAACAGGTAACTGCGCTTTAACCTTTTCGTTGTATCGCAAAAGCAATTGTGTATCTACCTGTAATGCCTTCCCAATAGCATTTGTTACAATAGCTAAATTTTATGGTAGTGTTCTTAGGAAATTCCATGTTCTGTCTCAGTGATGTTCCAGTTGTTCATCACATTGGGCTAGTGATTTTGGCGGAGTATCTGTTACTGTCTTCTGGAAATGATTCACGATAGGGAGAAACTTTGAGGTAATTCCTATTCTTGCTAGTTCACTAACTGCAGACTAGGTAACTATCCAACCAAATATTCTTTGGTGTTTCAAACACACACAAATATGTTTTTCAGTACAAGGATCTAATTAAGTCACAGTGATTTCGTATTTATTTTTCTGATCTTACTATTGCTCGTTTTAGCCCTGTGACTGATAGAGCCAAAAGTTTTGCCTACAGCAGCTCAAGAGGAACGTAATCCATCTCTAGAACCTGAAGCACTGTGAATTATTCTCTCCTTAGGTGGATTACAGTCAGTGGGGGCAATGGAGCCAAGTATATGGAAATCCACAACAGTACGGGCAATATATGGCTAATGGGTGGCAAGTACCATCGTATGGAATGTATGGCCAAGCATGGAATCAACAGGGTTTTGGAGTAGAGTAAGTAATTATGTTTAATTTTTTAGAATATTCCAAGAATGTTATATCTGAGTTTCAGGCTCATTTGTGTCAAGGATTGCACAAGGTTTCAAGCCTTAGGTGGACTCCTACGTGCTTAAAGCTCATGTTTAATGACTACCATGGACCAAACAATGGAGTGAGTCGCTCTGACTTGTACTCGATCACACGTTTTATGTGTATGGGTATTTTCAGACTCAAGGCACAAAGACTTCTTCTGTGGTAGGGTTTAAGATGGTGGTCTTGTCTGATATCTAAACATTTTCTGGATTCTGACTTGAGGTGGTGAATACTGGTGAGTCTGAGCCGGGGAGCTCAGGCACTTGCCTGAAGGGTTCATAACCCTGGAGAGAAGAAGCTACATACTGACGTTTTAACTTGGGTGGGCTTTTAATGCTTGATCTTTTGAAGTCTTCACAACAACTTTTTGTTTAACATACTTTTAAAATAACTTCTTTATTTACGTAGTTCTTCATTATCTCTTGCCAGTTAAACATGTCGAGCCCTGATAAACCTACCACTGGTATTCATGCCAGTTAGGCGTTGGGAATGTTTTACATTTCCGCATCACTGATGTTGACTTGCAGCCACCATATGTACATGCCTTTGGAGGTGATTGTCCTATGCAACTAGTACTCAATGTTTGTGGGGCTTTTTAAGAACAAAGAGGGGGAAAAAAAAGATTATCATATTTTCAAGAATCACATGTTGTGGTGCTTAAGCTGAATTACTCATTAAAGAGAGGAAGAAATTTTTCTATTTTGGTATGAATAATAGTGTAGGAAGTATGTTTTTATTTTTGGTGGGTTTTTTTAGTCTGTTGTCTTGTAAATAATTGAGTAGCTTGCATGGGTTTTTTTTTTTTTTTTCCTCCTTTCCTTTTTTTTAACCATCTTGTTTCTTTTTAAGCCAATCTCCATCTGCTGCCTGGATGGGTGGATTTGGTGCTCAACCTGCCCAGGGACAAGGTGCTCCTGTAATACCTAACCAAGCTGGATATGGTATGGCAAGCTACCAAACACAGTGAGCTGGGACTCTGTTTAAAAGTGTGTATTTCATGATAGGCTGCAGTTTCCAGTGACATTCTGAAGACTGGAATGTAGACAATGAAAAAAAAGAAAATATTTATTTTAAAAATGGAAATGTTTGGAACCTTTAGCACAGCTTTGCTTTGGTGAAGGACACAAATGTCTTCTAGTTCTGCCTTTTTAAGTTTTTGTTCATGATGGATATGAACATGTTTTTCTTTGTGTACAAAAATTAAAAATAAAGTCAATAAAGACAATTCTGACTACAAATTTTGATATAGTAGGAGAAACGGCTAATGAATTTGATCTTTAGGTTACCATTCCATTTTTTTTGTTCTGTCTTCAGTGTTTTATATCACAGTGCTTTTTAAGAGGTGTGACGTTGAGAAACAGCAAGTTGCTTTTAGTTGAACACACATCCTGAAGTGAACTGTGGACCAGTCATTACAACCTGCTAGACAGTATTGATTTTTCAAGAAACCTATGGGCATAGCTCAGAACGTATATGTAGGTCTTGGAATAATTTTTTTAAAAAATATTTAATTTTTCTACATGCTTAAAGAAAACAGTCTGATACAAAGAGTGGTTCAGTCTGAAATGAAAAACAGTACTGTCTGAGTAATTTCAAATAACTTTTACTGTCCACATTCAGGCACACATCAAAACTTTTCAGGAGCTGGTTTGCTTATTAAGACTGTAGTAATTTACATTTAATTTTGAGAAGTAAAAACGTTTTTGCAAGTATGTTGTTTGTATTCAAATCAGACAGTCATACTTGTGCTTTTACATCAAGTTTGAAGGCTACACATTGTAAATATTTCATAATGACAGTGTTTCAAAAGCATGCTCGAACATAGAAGTAGCAATGTAATTATTCAAAGTAATACTTAATATACTCTACTGCTTTAAATGCAGTAGATTGACAAGAATGTGCAAGACTGACATTTCCAAAGTTGGCTATTATGTAAAGTTACATAAAGAACTATAACAAAGAGCCTTAATTTTAATTTCATAAATCTTTAATGCATCACCTTTTTGTCATTAGAAATACGAATTTTTTGCTTTACATTATTTGGTATGTAAATACCTTGGTTAACAACCTTGTAAACCTATTTCAAGGTTATTATAAGTTGTATAGTATCTTAAGTGTTTTGAAAAATCTTGATGTTTTTTAAGTCTAGAAATATTTTGCCCAAGAATTTTTTAACAAGATTGTTAAAAACATCTTATTTTAGAGAATACTCAATGTGCCATTTGGTAAATGGAGATGCAGTTGAAACAGTACACTGAGTTGTGACTTATTTTTAATTAAAGTTTTTGTCTTTATGGGTGGTTTGCATGTGATGAACCTGTACAGAGGCTGGGTTGTTTGTGTACTGAGTGTGTAAATGGATAAATCATGAAGATGTTTAAATGGTATACTTGGGTTATTTCTGAATTATTTTATGGATACATTGATATAAACTGCCTCAATAAATATGAAGTTGAAAATGAATGTAAGTTAGATATAAGTACTGTGTTTTACCTGTGACAGCTAGAGGGTGCAAATGTTTCAGCTGTATCCTGACGTACACTGAGGCAGGCACAGTTTAAAAAGAAAAAAAAAAAGTAGTTTTTGCAGTGATAGTTCAGTGATGCAAACTTGCATTTTAAAGGAAACAGAGTGTTTAATTTTAGAGATGGTAGTTCTCGATGAGTGTCTGAGAAGCTGTGTATTTTACCTTTTCTGTTCCTTACCGTGCAGGTGTTGCAAGTTAGAATAGATTCGGAAATGGTAACTTGCAGGTTTGTTAAACCCAGCCAGGCTGTGCAAATAACTACACTTGATGCTGTAGCAAATCACGTGAGGTTTTTTTCCTCCACCTCTTCTACTTGACGTGATAAATAGTACCTTGACTTGTAGATCAGGTTGAAAGTGCTGTATACTGGCAGAGCGATTTAGTCAGTTGGCTCCGCTGTACCCAGAGACGACTCTGGGCATCTAATGCATGCAATAATGACTGAAGTTAGCGTGGAACCATAAGTGCTTGTGATGACAGAATTGGCCCTTTATCTCCGTTTCTCCTTTATGGTATATGTAGTGTTTTTCCGTTCAAGTTAGGAATCTTGTCTACAGGACTTTTGTTTTTCTATAAATTTTGTATATATGTGTATATCTACGCGAGGATCGGCCTATACATTGTAGTTTGGAAAAAAAAAAAAATCACAAGTCTGCGTTTTTTCTTACACTTAACCCGGTTTAAAAAAAAAAAAAAATCACTAGTCAGTAGATAAATGAATCGCAAGTTACTTTGGGATTTCTTAGACTGCACTTAGAATCTGGGGTTTTTATGTAATTCTAGGTGTTTGCCATAGGACTGTGTTCTGGATGCATGCTGGTATGCAAGCAGTGTGTTCTTTAGGCGCTCCTGAAGATGTAAATGATGCAAGTCCATTGCCACACACATGCCCGTATAAATGGGTGTACGATTAAGGCAGTGATCTTTCAGGTCTCAATGTGTAGATCACTTTAAAGCTGATTATTTAATATGCCTGCTGTAGAGCTGGGCCATACCTGACCTGTATTTCAGGATGAAACGTAGGATATACTTTCTCACTGAAGTCTTTTGTCATTGATTTTTATACAGCCTTTCTTTAACGGTGATATTTCTTCGCAGACTGCTCGAGGTACAGGAGTCTCCAGTGTTCTTTAATGTTTCTGTAGCAGTGCGATGAAGAGTTGTAATTTGCATTGCTTTCCACTCAGTAGCGTTTGTAAAATGCATCACTGACCATTTTTTGGCACCAAAGAGCCTCTTGCACCATACTGCTTCTATGAGTGACTGTTACACTGTTGTTATTTCTCTAACTGCAGAAATCAGCCACTACCTAACCCCTTACCTAGGATCTGCATTTCAAAAAGTATTGGTTTATCATGGCTGAAATTGATGTGTGCAACCTGAAGCAAGGTTGTCCTCTGCGTTTGCAGAAACTGCTCAATAAAAGTGAAACATGATAAAGGGCTTATCCTGTATTGTCATCTGTCAAAATGTTGTCCCTCTTTGCTGTAAAACTGACTACAGGCATGCAAGGATGAACTTGTAAACTATGCACTTGCAATCATGTAAAAGATGCTTTATTTAAATTTTTTCATACAAAACCATTTTGTATTTTGCAGAGTTGCAGTAGAAGGCTGTAAATCTAAGTTTAAATGTAGCTTTTCATCAGTCCTGCCTCCTTGTGTATATTTGTTACCAGTTTTCAGACATACTCTTCCTGCAGAACTCTTCCAGCTATTCACTGTATCAGAACCTTTTCCTTTATTTCACTCGCCAAAAATGTCTATCAGTGAATAAGGCTTAGTCTTGCAGAAAATCAGTGATTTGTTTTTCTTGTGTTTGTACACAAGGAAGCAGACTTAAACTGTACGGACACGATTAGTGTCTGATACTTCCTAATTATCTGACTGTTTTTGAACAAGGGCACAAGTCATTGTTTTAATCACGTGGAACTGTTTCCTGGTCAGCAATAAAAGATTTTGTTGCACTGTTGTTGCACTGCAAGGTACAGGCCATCTTTTATTCAGTATACTTCAAAAAAAATGATGGGGTTTGGAAAGAACTGCCTTTTTCCAACTTGAATCTTCAACTGTAGAGACAGTTTCGCATCTGGATTGCTGCTGTAATAGCAGAAGGAAGTTGTTCTTCTGAAACTGAGTGAGGATTTGTTTGTTCTGATCATATGTGGTGCCTGTTCAACTTGGTAGATTCAAGGGTTTCACTGTGTAATGTTTCTCTTCATAAAAAGGAAACTGCAAGGCAACAGCTGTTGGGAAGGTCTTTCTGTTTCATTTCAGCCAACTTTCATGAATCCAGTTGATTGTTTAAAAAAAAAAAAATTGAGAAGATATTTGTGTTTTTCAGTATTACATGGATAAAATCCCTCCCCTACCTTTGCCATCACTTCAAAGAAAATGCTAAAATGTTTACTGAATGTTCTACTTGAAAAAGAAACAGGACTTCATGTTGATGAGTGAACACTGATTCTGTCGTCTTTCTGGGGATGTATGCTGATCTAGATCATGGATGTGAACGACATACTCTGCTCACTGACATTTAAAGGGTGGGGACTCAGTTAATTTGACATCAGTAATGATTATTTGAATACAAGTTATTCTTGCTTAAATACAGAGCCACTCGTGATTTGATTAAAGCCGATTGGAATCTTCTTGGTTATCAAAGTATTCCTGATATGCTGTGGGAAGAGATACTGCTTTACCTGGTACCTTAGTAGTCAAGCTGTCAGTCAGACATCAGAGTTGCACAGACAGTGTTTTATTTTTTTAAAGACACTTCATGGAGTTACATCAGGGAATTCAGTGTAAAAGCTGACTTTTCTGTAGTGATGGGTGATAGCATTTGAATATTTCCCCGTGAAAACGAGCGACCAGTCGCTATTCTTTGGATGAACCCAGGTTCTCACTGACCCCAGGTAGTCGGCAGCTGTCTATCCCAGCTGCTTGCAGGGAAGGGAGGAGGAGGAAGGGGAAAAACGGTGAGGCCAGGTGATAGGTGTGCCAGACTAGTGTGCGGGATGGAGCAGCATTAGTGCCAAGCCATATTGTCAGACATATTTAAAATCCCGGCAGGCTTACACAGATACGGCAGCAGGATCCGAAGGATTGTGACCATTCAGACGCAAACTTGCTTTGTCTCCGTGCTTAAAATAACGTTGCTTTAAAGAAATAGAAAATATGTAACCTTTGGCCATTTTCTGTTTGGTTCCTGAGAAAATAGATGCACATTAAACAGCTAAGCTAGAATACTGAGGTTGACTAAATGAATAAAGAGAACGTAAAGGAGCAAATTTTGTTAAGTGTCTGAATTTGTTGACCTTTGCTTAATTTAGATCTCAGCTTGGCAATGTACTGTTTGCCCATATTGACCCTTTTGTGCAACTGGAGTAGCTTGAGATATGCACAGCTGCTATACGTTCTTTAAATTTCTGGAGCAGGGCTGCGTAGGAATTGAACAAGAATCACAAGTCTACTGCATGAAACACTAAATGATGCTTACGTTTCCCAGATGGAAATCGAGCCAACTCTGTAGAAGGTTAAATGCCACAGTTGATGATGAAAAGCTGCCGTCCTCCATTTGAGTGTCTAGTTCTTTGACCTTAATAAATGGAGAATTATTGTTGGGGTGCTGTTCCATGGAAAATGCTCTTGGTGGTTTCATTGGTCTTTCAATGAAGCAGATCATTCCACGAATGATTTGTTTCTTTTATGTTGG